TTTTTACTTGACTTCTTATTTAACGATCACTGTCTGCGATCATTGGTCAGCTCTCAATCATCAATTTTGCTTGAGAATTTAGGTGAGTGAGGTACGAGTTACAATCTTCCGAGTTCAAACACATTTGTTTTGATATCGAAATTATCACATAATCATGCAATACCACTCCTTCATCTCTCAAACGAAAGAGAGAAGCTGCGATGAAAATTACACTTTGCAATCTGTGATAGCCAATCAACTCAGTTGAACTGATGAATAACTGAGTGACCCAAGAATATCCTTTTTTGGATTATTAGTGCTATAATTATTCAAGCGCATACCATTTTTGTTTCAATTTCCCCAATTTTAATGCTTTGGGAAATATAATATCACCTAGCAGAACTTGTACACATTTGCATTTATTCACTTATCAGATACAGTGGAGTCGTGTGCAATACATGCGAAAAATATTCTTCGAACCCACACGATATATGAGCTCTAATCTAGTCAACTGCTCTTTACTCTTCAAATGGCAACTGAAAGTCAACAACTATCAAGCGTCCGCCATCATATCGAAAAGCAGTATTGAACTCAGACTTTCCATTTCTATGCGACCATGACTCATTTCAGTGAGGACTCATTATCGGTTTTCAAACAGATCCATATTGTTAGCGATTTGCAAGAAATTTGCATTTTTTTGCTTACAGTTAGTATGAGTTATCTGTGATGTCATTGCTGAATCAGCATAAAATTCTTCTATATAAGACCAAAAAATCCTGATCGCAGTCATTATTGCTCGTCGGTTACGTCGCAACAGTTGACTACTCCTGTCATTCCAAGCGGATGGATTCGCTTCGAAACCCGTGCGCGAGAGGAAACTTCAATCGGGACGCGTCGATGTGTCAGCCAGGAGCACTGAATAATGCCAGTTTCTGTGGCTTCAACTCAAACGTGAATCAAGCCGGCACTGGTGGTGCTGCCGGCGCTTTCAACAATCAGCGTCTGGGTGCTTTCGGTAACACTGCTGGCTTCGATGCTACAGCAAACAGTATGAGCGCACTCGCCAATAACTTAACAAATCTCAACCAACGACTCATTTCGAATGTCGATAATCTGAATCGAGCGCTGCAAAGTTTGAATTCACTCAGTGACAACTTAAATCGCAATCTCTCGAGTAATGCCAACAATCAATCGAACAATTTTGCTAACAACAACAATGCTACCTGGTTCAAAAACACCACAGCTGTCAACTCCTCAACTAATGATCAACCATCAGCAGACAACCAAAAAGCATCTGAGGGCCAGCCGACTGTTGGTGTTATTGCGGATGCCTCAGGTACACGTATCGTTATCGGAAATGGTACCAGTGGCAATCTTTGGGTGAGCGCTTTTCTTTAACCTTAGCTCGCAAGCCTGAACAATGCTAGAGCTTAATTTCACTTACAAACAATACAATACAGTCACAAAACTGATCGTTCAGATTGGGTCAACACACGGACAGGTCGTATTGTTGACATGAACTCATTGAGACAAGAAAGTGGCAGCTACTGCTTTTGGTCATGCACACCGATATTGTAATACTTCGTGATATGTCATTTCAGGAACATGCAAACTGGCCATCTTCAGTTTATCAACTGGACGCGAATGCGGCTCATTGAGTTGGGTATCTTCACGGGATGAGCAGGGGATTCGGGAGGAACAAGTTGAAGTGATTAATAGTTGCAAATCATCATAACTGTTTTATATTCTCCGCAATAAATATTTGACGCAATATACAATAGTTGTATGTCACAGTAATAATTGTACAGCATACCAGATCATACCAATAAGAATGTTGTGCAGTTTGAAAATGCGATGCATCAGTTGTTGAAAATTATTCACACTGTGCCTGATCCTTTTCGTTGAGCTGTCGGGGGGAGCATGCCCTATGATGAACGGCTCAAGCCAGGGCCATGAAGTGGGCCAATAGTGAGCTGATGAGTCCGTCAAAGAGTGTGAATCGCTCACACTTCTGAATTCATTGTTTATTGTTTTGAATTTCTTCCATCTAATTGAGCAATTGCATTGTGCGGATCATTTCTACACATTGCATCTCTGTTGATCAATCTATGCCTTGCGACATCAGTATCAGAACGATGACTTTCAAACTAACTAACTGTTTGCTCTTGTTTGCCCACAACTTGCCGAATTTTTCACATTTTCGTATTGCTCAGATTCTAGAGCTTCGAAAGGCAACATACCTCATCGAGCGATCATGCTTTGTTTCAGATAAATACTTCAACTTCGGAAGGCATGCCACCTTGTTGAGCGATTACATCACGCCTTTTAGCTGTATGCATTGCGAACTTGTTGATCAACCTATGCTTTACGTTAGGAACATCACTGTTAGTGGTGTTAGCTTTTGTTGCTGGTGCGAAGACGACACTTAATTATATAGTTTATTCAAACTAATAAATAAGGACGATAATGATGATTGAGTAGAGTGATGATACAACTGACGATTGCGAAAGATGCCGACGATGGCGAGTACAACACTGTAATAACTGCGAGTGACAACACTGACTGCAAGTGACAACGCTAACAACACACTGATATCCACACCGGTACACTGACCAACTACACTAACAATAAGCTACTTATATAGTCATTGGGGTTAGCTGATTACGAAACAATGATCACCTGTTGCGAATGGTGGTCAGAGAATACACGATATGCAGAGCACTATGGACAGATATACAAGAAACTGTAAGCAATAAACAAGAGATCATAGATTTATCTCAATATCATCCTTCAATCACAAGCTTAATGTTCAAGGGAACTGTTTCTTCGGGTTAATTCTCGGATTCTCCGAATCATCCATCTCCAGAATCGAGCGATCATGCTCATTGTCAGCTTCAGATGAATGCTTCAATTTTTAAAAGCACGTCACTCTGCTGAGTATTGCATTGCAACGCTCATTTCCATTCACTGTTTTTCTGTTGATTAACCCATGCCTTGCAACATCAACATCCGAAAGATCTCCTTCAAAGTATTCTTAGTTTACACAAAAACATGTTGTTTTCTTCATACCATCGTTATCATCAAGCAAGTATGGTTGATTTGGACTTACGACATCCGACGTTGAACATACGGCAACCGTACTTGCGACGAAGAATTCTTGATAATTTTTTTTGTTAGAAGCGGTCGAAAAAGATAATCTTATTGAACAGAATTGTTTCGAGATAATAACGGTGACATATCAGCCATTTAAATGCTTACACTTCGTGTAGATTTTAACGCAATGATATCCATAAATATGGACCGACGTTTTGAACTTACTTAAGACTCTAAAGGTTCATTATGTTCTAATGCAGTCAAAAATGTTGAATTTTATGCAACGAAATCTCGGTCCATTAATATCTGACGATGAGCAAAATTTTCGGCAAAATGTGTTTCGGTTTATGAACGCTGTTTGGTTTACTAACATTTTTGCTCGATCTTTAGGCGTCAAGCAAATTAGATATGCAGAGAATTAGTTCATAATGGGATTCTGACGGTTTCTTGGCATCTTTCGACATATCGAAGACCATTTTCAAGTATTTCAGTTAATTTTAGATTTCGACGCAGTGTGCTCCCTAATTTTCATTGTTAAAATCAGCCCAATAAAAAAGGTATTTGAGACCTCTACAACGGATGTGAATTCAGATCTGGAAGTGGTTATTAACCATATTTCATCAGAAACGTCCTCATGGGATAACAAATCGCGGCCAAATATCAATAATTAAAGGAACTGTTGATATTCTACGCTATCGACGAACGTTTACATCAGGAAAAATGTTACACATTTCGGTGGCGAGGGTTCTTGAACAATTTATCTAAACGTGAAGACTTACAATGGATTCCAAAAAAATATTCTCATTTTTTCAAAGGATTCTAAAGAAACGTGCATTACTCGTTTAAGCATATCGCAATCTGCTCTCACGTCCACCAACCACAAACAAACCTTATCTGACTGCGTATGCTCACCAATTTCTGACGCACATTTTCCATGCGATATGCGCACATACATCAACTGGGTAATGACTCTGAGGCAGCTTCTTATGTTCCTTCAGGTCATTACTGGTGAAATTCACGTTAGGATTCTATTGTCGACATTCAAGGATGTAATCATGTTGATTTCTTGATTAGGTTAGAGCACAGACGGAGCACAGATGGGCTAACGTCTATCGTGGCGTAAGGCCGACGTATC